GCAGCACTGCTGGGACAAGAGCGCGGGCCCCGAGCTGTCGATCCCATCGCGGGGTTCCCACTCTTCCTGCTGTTCCTCCTCCTCCTGCCTGTACTCACTCGGCTGACGCCGCTCCGCGCGCCCCCAAGCCACGTGGTGTTCACGGGCGTCGTGGTGCGAGCAGTTGCCTCGGCGTGCGCAGGCGTTGTGGGCCCAACATGTCCGAGCGTTTTCTGGGCCAGAAAAACAAATATCCATAATCAACTCAGATATGGAATTTGATGTGTCCAGGGCCTCAGAAATTTTCCGGAGTGTGGCTCCGTCGGCACCGTCCGGTGTCCACAGGCTTTGTTGTATACGCAGACGCTGTGGTGCACCGAGGGGAGCTGTGGTGCACGGGGGCGCCGTGGTGTGCATAAAGAGTGTGATGTGCAAAGGCGCGGCGCACACACATATCACACACCACACAGAGAGACAGAGACACAGAGACGCAAAGACACAGACACATATACACATCTGCACAGACACACTGACACACAGAGACACAGAGACACCTATACACAGACGCACAGACACACACACACAGAGGCACAGAGGCACAGAGACACAGAGACACATACACACAGACACACACACACATACACATATACACACCACACCACACCACCCCGCCCACCCCGCCCACCCCGCCCACCCCACCCACCCCACCCACGCCGCACGCACACGCACACACACACACACACACGCACACAGACACAAAGACACAAAGACACAAAGAACAACAGACAGCACACACACACACACACGCACACACACACACACACACACACACACACACACACGCACGCACGCAGGCACACACACACACACACACGCACGCACGCACGCACGCACGCACGCACGCACGCACGCAGACACACACACACACACATTCACACACAGACACACTCTTGCCAGGGCAAGAGAACATCCGTCACCCTGAGAGCTTGGTCAAGCAAATTGTTAGGGATATAAAATTCGATGTTGTCGCTGCCGATATTATACTTGGTGCTGACGAGGTGGAAGAAGCCGACAGTGGCCGAGCTGTGCAGCGCGCGCTGCACAGCAGAGGTCTGTTTTCACATTGGCATATGGGGGCCTTCGTTCGCCAGTGCCCCCCATGCCAATCGCTGGCCCCCTCTTCGCGGGTGCACAACTACGACGAATTGCGCGTCTGGCGAGCTGTGCGCGAACGCCCCCTGGACACGGGGGTTGTCTCTTACCGTGGGGCCCGCAAGCCTTTTTTTCCCACCTCAGAAGTTGAGCCCGTTGGCTATCAAACGGAATGCGCCGCCACCGTTGCGGCCCAACCGCAAGAGACAGGGCAATGTGCGCGCGCGCTTCAGGCGCACAGCGCAGCGGAGGGGAGGGGGGAGGGGGCGGCGAGGACATGCAGAGAGACCGATGCAGCAACCGACAATTGCGCGCTCGCCGCCATGCCTGTGCATTTTGAGATCGTTGCGAGGTTGAATTTGGAGTTTGCTTTCGAAGAAATAGGCGTCGATGCCGCCCATATCCGCGGAGACACCTGCGGGCTTGGAAAGCTTCGAGGTGCCAAAAGGGTGGGAAACGGGGAAGAAGGAGCGGGGGGAGGAGGGGCGGAGCGAGAAGAAAGAAAGGAGGCAAGGGGAGAAAAGCAGGTGGGACGACTAGCGGCAAGCTGGGATGTGACGCGCGCAACGACAGTCACTGCACCAAAGCATAATCTACAGCCTGACTGGTGAATAAACGACGGATAACAAATCTAAAACAGTCAAGCCTGAACCCTCGAAGCTGTCCTGCTGGAGACCCAACTGCGCTGGGCAAAGGGATGGCGATTGAATGTGCTAAAATTTTGGCTGCGCGGCCGTGACACATTACACACGCGAACGATAAGCTGACCTGGGCCGGGCCATGGCCCCTTCCCTTGAAGAGGCGGGGCGCAGAAGCGCCACGCGGCGGAACGCAGGCGGCGACGACGACGAGGAGGGGGGCGCCAAGCGAGAGGAAAGGAAGGAGGGGCAGGGGAGAAGCGGGGGCGACGGGCACGACCGGGACCAGGGCGACGACCCGACCCGTGGAGCAGAAGAGCACTCGAGGCGCCCCCCCGCGCCCCCGAGCGCCCCCGGTTGCGCGGCGCGCGCGCAGGGGCGCCGGAAGCGGGCGCGGGAGGAGCGAGGGCGACGGGGACGGCGACGAACGGCAGGAGGGCAGAGCGGCAAAGCCAGGCCAGGAGAGATCGGCACGAACGAAGCGGGTACGGAAAGGAGGGGTACAATGCCCAACAGCGGTTCCTGTTCATTTTGAGCAGGGCTCGCTGTCGGTGTCGCCGTGGCCTGTGTGCCTTTGAGGCAGAAGGCCGCCTGCCCAACAGCGGCCGCTGTCGGTTTGGGACGACATGTGCTGTTGGGCATGGTACCCATTTTTTCCGCACCCATTTCGGGCGTCCAAAAGAGAGGACCGGGAGAAGGAAGGGGAGGACACATTTCGCTCTCTTGCTGCACTTGCGCTGCGGAAGAGTACAGGCAGCGCCGCCTGCGTGGAGGAGTGCTGAGCCAAGGAGGGCGCGCGGGCGGAGTCAGCAAGCCCCGACGGATCGCGGATCGCCTCGGAATTCTGCACTGTATAATTGTGCAAACGAAGATTGTCGTAAGATTGTTGTAGTGTCGTTGTAAGATTGGGGCATTGGTTGGGACGGAGGAAGCATGGGGGGAATGGGAGAAGAGAAGAGGGACGAGGCGGAGCGAGAGGGAAGAAGAGAGGAGAGGAAGAAACAGAAGGAGTGCCGGCGCGGAGCAAAATCAGCAGGCTGCCGTACGAGCGGATTGTAAGGCATCTTCGAAATGGCCGCAAAGCGGTTCATAGACATTCGCGGTGGCCGCGAAAGATTGCCCTGGAGCACGCCGAAGCGCGCCCGACACACTGGCCAGGTCAAGAGACCATCCGTCACCCTGAGTCCTTCGTCGAGCAAATTAATACGGATATTATAACAGTCGATGTTGTAGCGGACAAAAGTGTATTGCGAAGGCCTCACGGCCTATGCCGCCGACCCTGAATGGCGACGACGACGACGACGAGCGCTCTTGGGGGCCTGTTGGGGGTAGTTTGTGGGCTTCTTGGGAGGCTCTTAGAGGCCGCTTGGAAGCCTCGTGGGGGCCTCTTGGGGTTTCCTGGGGGTCTCTTGGAGGGGGCCTGGGACGTCTTGGAGGCTTCTTGGACGGTCTTGGGGCTATCTTGGGCGTTTTCGGCCGATCTTTGGGCGACTCGGGGCCCTCTTGGGCCGTCTCGGGGGCCATCTTGGGCATTCGGACCTCATTTGGAGTGTTTTCGAGGTTTCTAGGCCGCCCGAGGAAAAACGAATCTGCCCCCCCACCCCCCCCGGGACACCCCCCGGCCCGGGACCCCCCCCGGGACCGGACCCCCCCCCCTGGGGAAGGGATCAAAGGGAAGGGGCTTCCCTTCGACTCGATTACGACACTGCTAGATTTTTCTCTCGCTCACGAGCTTGAGAAGGAAGCTGCAGGGAAAGGGGACGACGGAGGTGACGACCGACGGAGACGACGACTCGAACAGCCAAGCCCCTCGCACACGCCGACAGGGTCGGCGGATTTGGTGCTGACGACGCGGAAGAAGCCAAAGGCGGCCGAGCTGTGCAACAGGACTGCCTAAAAAGAAAAACGCGCGCGCTGTACAGCAGATGGGAGTCTTCGTTGGCCCACGCCCCACGTGCCAATCGCTGGCCCCTCCACCAGTTGCACAACTGCGACCTGCGTTTCCGGCACGCTGTGCGCGAATGTCCCTTGCACACACGCACAAACACGCACACACACACACACACGCACACACACACACAATCACAAACGCACGCACGCACGCACGCACACACACACAACACACAAACACAAACACACAAACACACACACACACACACAGCACGCACAGCCGAACACGCCACGCACACCACTCACACCCCCTCGCACAGTCCCACACAACACCACACGCACACACTCACACGCACAAACAAACACGAACACACGCACGCACTCAGCACGCACCGCACACACTAATACACACACACGCACACACACACACACACACACACACACACGCGCAACAAACGACACACACACACAACACCACACACACAACACACAACACACAACACACAAACACACACAACACACACGCACGCACGCACGCAATCACCACTCACGCAACCACGCACTCACTCACGTACACACACACACACACACAGTCTCCCGCCACGCGCGGAGTTCCCCCCTCCCTCCCCCCCACCCCCCCCCCAATCACACACACATGTACACAAAAAAAAAAACACATACACACACACACACATACACACACAACACACACACACACGCATACACACACACACACTAACATCTAACACTCACACAACACACTCACACTCACACTCACAACCCACCCTCTACACACCCACCCTCTCCACCCACCCTCCGCCCCCCCCCCACACACACACACCACAACACCCACACACAACTATTACACAACAACCACTCACACACACTCACCACACACACACACAAACACATCCACACACACAGACTCCACACACCCACAAATTCACACGCACAAATGCACACACACACAAATCACTACACACACAAAACTCAAAACACACACAAACGCACACACTCACAAACACACACACACACGCACACACACACACACACACACGCGCACACACACACACACACACGCGCACACACCCACACACCCACACACACACACACACGCGCACGCGCGCACACACATGCACGCACGCACACACACACACACACACACACACACACACACCACACACACACACACACACACGCACGCACACACACACACACACACACACACACACACACACACACACACACACACACACACACACACACACCACACACGCGCGCGCGACCGCGCGCGCACACACACACACACACATACACAATTAGCACACACACACACATTTT